CAGCTTGGATGGAGGATAAGTTATGGACAGTGTGGTTTTTAATCTCCTGTTTATTATCACTTCAACTTCGTCACCTTTGAATTTAAGTTAAATAAAAATAGGATTTTTTGTCTTTTGTGGTTTCTTTAGTCATTTTGTTTTCACTTTTCCATAGTTATTAATAAACTTCTGTGGATACCTATTGTTCCCCATATATTTTTTTAGGGTCGACTAGTTCTGCTTCCAATTTATTGACAGTACATATCATTTCAGTTCTGTCAAATAACGTTTTATTAAATGGCCTCTTGTAGTTAATTAGACAAAACCGTTAAAATTTGAACAAACACCATTCCATATATCTTTTTGATAAACTAAGCGTTGGATTGTACCATCCTCAATCCATTATATGGCTATATCGAGAAAGTTAAAATTCTTATTATTTTGATTTCTTATTGTCAACTGGATATTTTTATGATCGTCTATGAAAAGGTTTCTGGTTGATCATTACATATAATCCGCATGGGGTGCTTATATGACAAATTTCAGTCAAAATATCAACAACCAGATGATCCAATCCATTTCGAATTGAATTATAACATCGATTTTTTGAAATCTATCCCAAAAATGACAAAGCTTAATCCAAAAACTAAGTGTCGTGACTTAATTGCCTAAATAATTTAAAGTCTCAGTAATGAGGTAAACAATAAAACAACATACATAACAACTTTATGAAAATTCTCATATCGACATTTGGTAAATAAAGAAGGAACGAATCGAGCAAGTTTATGAAATCATAATTATCCTTTTCTGATCAACAAACATAAACTGAGTTAAAAGTAATAAAATTTTCCCTAAAAGCTATTTAAAAACAACAGTTTTCTAGTTTTACTTATATAACCAATAGATGTTGGATGCCGAAATAAGTTGCGGTAAATATTAATCTTTTATAGTTAAGTTCTAGTAGATACGAAGTCATAACAATACGATTTAGTCATCATTGAAATATTTGTTGTTTGAAGTAAGTAGAATTGTAACTAAGTTGCTTTCATTTTCTTAAATATAGGACCCCTGTTTCATCCTTTTTCAGACTAGCCAGTTGTATTTGTTTTTCAATGAACCCTGTTGTTTCATCTTATGCCTGAACCCAGCATTTGTGCATCAAATTAAAATTACATGATAAAAAAAACATTTTACATTGTAGTTGAGTCTTATAAGTAAGTATTTGTAACCACACAATATAGTACATATTAATACGCGATTAAAAGTGGTTATTCCATTGAACAGAATACTTTGACTACCTTACTGATAAACTGACTCCTATTCATTGGGTTAATTTTATACTGACTATGTAATAAGCAAACCCAGTTTAAGGATATTTTTACTGCCGTAACGAAAGTTTATACCTTAAACACACGAAAAACTATTATTTCCACAGGACTTCAATCCCATAAACAAATTTTAACAAGCCCACTTTTAAATTTTATAGTTAACGGAATTTTCATAGTAAAACAAATATTGAAAACCAGTGAGCGGTGGAAAATTTTTCCATCCAAGTTTGAGGCTCATCAGCATTGCTCATCCGTGGTCCTAACGAATATCAAACTCAAAAACCTTTAGGTCGCTTGGCAAGCGCTCAAATGTTAGACCACAAAACTAACATTCAGTGGTTAAATTGCTTAACTTCATTTAACTTGCGATATCGAACAAATTTATTTCAATGTCATTAGTGTATAATTACATCACACTCAACATGGTCGGATTCCACTGGTTGTGGATTCTCATCAAAAGACTTTTAAGCATTGACTATTTTGGTTAATCCCCGATTAATGATAAGTTTCACTCAAGTGTTCTTATAATAATATATATATATATATATATATATATATATATTATCCAGATGACTGCATACTTACCCACTGTAAATCATCTACGATGAAAATAGGCTATTAGATCAATTCTCTCTTAATCAGCATCACAAAACGATTACCTAACTGAGAATAGTGGTATTTTATTGACTTAAATATGAATGCTAAGGTTTTTAAGTATTATTTACATAAGAATTAATTCTTAAAAAGCGAGAGGTTGAAATTATTTTTAAACATCACTTGTACAATTATTTACGTGTAGTCATACCAGTCACCATTTAGTATGAAACAATTGAGAGAAGTACATTTTTAATTCATTTACATAATGTTATTGATAATAAAAGCATGAATAAGAATGAGAAAACCTATGAACGATCCGGTTGGTTTGACAAAACTTAGCTAACTAACACAGAGATAGAAGGTGGCAAACTGTACACTAAAATACAATGCGCATATATAACTCCCGAAATTGTTCCTGTTCTAAAGCCTAGTCACGGACATTAAGGGGATACAAATATTTGAATAATCCAAAAGGACCAATGAAAGTCTATTCGTTTACTGTACATCACTGAAGGAAATCTATCACAAAACAAACTGATGTGATATATCAGTATGGAGCCTTCAAGATTGTTTAATTCTATTGAGATCATGAAACGATCTAAGCTAAACAACCACTGAAACCTAAAACGCACTAGGTGGCCGTTTCTTATTCGTATGGGACTCTTCAATGGGGTGGCATCCACATCCCAGTCACTAGAGACCGATCTCAAAATCGGTCTCGTGAGTGGACACTTAAATTCTAGAACACTGAACTGGGATTCATTTATACACAATATGAATTATTCGTGATATAACCTTCATCACTGGCTGATGATCAGTTGGAGAATGATCGAAATTAGGGAAGCATTCGATAACCGTGCCATCGTAGTTTGAGTTCTTATCAATGTGAGAACTTATGAACACACGCAGAATCGAACCGAAGACCTTTAGATGTCAGAATTAACACATCTTTAAACAAATGAGTTGGAACTTTATGTTTCATAATTTAATTTTTAAATAATCAGTAGTTCAGTATCATTCAAATTCGGTGTTCCAAACGAGCTACCCTCCCGATTCCGACTTGACAGACATTAAAGTTTAGGCCGTAAGTAAATCCACTTTGAAGTCATTTATTAGTAAATATATGATTCATATCAATATCGACGGTTTCATGTGAAACTTCGATGTAATTTGAAGGTGCTTAAAATATTATTTTTAGTTACTGCATACTAGGATTTTTAAACACTAGACAAAATGATCACTAATTTTTTGTAACAAGAATCATGTTACTGATAATCTCAACCAAATCCATCAGTAGTACATGACTGAATCGTAAATGGCTAGTATTCAAAATTTATCAGCCTAATTTAACTCTGTTGTTATCTTAAAAACGATACGTTTCTTCCTTTTGTTCGTTAATCTCTTGATCGGTCTGTTAGTTACAGCTGATGCATCGAGTTCGTTCACTAACTAATTCGCTTATTGTCTATAGATGAAAGTAAAATATGATTGGGCGTTGAACATGAACAAACAGGCAGTTAGTGTTAGGTATGCAGAGGAATGTACCAATAATTATCGTGTTAAATCTATGGTGGCCTTGGACTTTAAATGTACATTCCCTATTGGCTATTATTTAATTCATTCGTTAAATATTGTACAATGTTATTTCCTATTTTATCGTACGATGTGGCCTGCTTGATTAGTATATAAACAGAGTGTGTTTGAAATATAATGATTCATAACTAAGAGGCTGTGACTTGTGTTCCTGACTCAACTGGCTGGGACAGACTGCGAAGCGGGGTCAATCAGGGCTCTGGGTCGTCCATACGTGTTTTCCGTGTTACTGTGATCGATCGATAAAATGCTGCTTAGCATAACCTGCTGTCACACCCGTTACAACAGTTAGCCTACTGACTATTAAAGATCTAATTTCCTTTCTTGTTATTGACTTCTATTCCGGACACACTGAGAGTGACTGCTTGTAACTGTGTTGAACAAAGTATTATCTAGTGTTAATCCGGTTTTCTATTCTGGATTGTGAATCCTGGATCTAATATAACATGACGGTGAGACTATAATATATGGACGACCTTGGAGCGAATCTAAGGTGACCTATAGTGTCTACCTAATAACTAGGACCAAATGAGCGTTATAAACCAGTGTGAGGAATTGGAATTATGATTTACATTTGATGGTTAAAATTAGGAATTAGATTTAGGGTTTTCGTCACTAACTGAGGTTGACACTAATTACACGGCGGTTGTGATTCAACATGAATGACTAACTCATAAGTGGCACAGAATCGGATCAATAAGGGAATAATTAATTCGAGCTAATCCCGGAAGTATAAAGTATATAGCAACAGTTTGTGAGTCAGACATGAGTTTAAAATTAGGTTAAAATAAAAATACAATCCCATTACTTAATAATTATGAAATAAAAATACAAATAATGATTTCCCATAGGATTTCAATATCAGTGTTTGACCTGATAGCTCCAAATAAATTGAGCATTGGATAGAAGGATAATAATAAATAGTTTTTATTGGTGATATCCCAATTAGTAGACATTTGTGCTTCTGACGTTTTGTGAATGCTATTTAGAGTTGTGTTAGTTTTGTTTCAGCTATTTACTTATTCACCCAGATGAAGTGACTTACATTAAGTCACGAAACGTCAGTAATACAAATTTCTACTCATTAGGATATCACAAAAGGTACATTTAATTATTATATCTCTAGGATAGATCTGAATATTCAATTTAAAATCCTCTTCGAAATAAAAAAAAACATCTTAAATAATTAACAGCATCTACTTTTTGATAGAAGCAAAATTGTATCTAGACGATAGGGATTCGAACTTTGACCAGTAAATTATGAGTTTGAACCCGCTTCAAACTGAAAAACTTTGACTTATAACGTTGTACATATATTTGTATGCCTGTTTTATATATTTAAATATGAGGAAAGTCCCTATTTTGATTAACTTCTCATCTAATGTACAAATGAACAAATACATTGAAAAAGAAACATCTTTTATAAACACTAAGTTATTTATTTTACAATCCTTTCCGTATAACTAATTGGTCAACTAATAAACTATTATTAATTTATAGGCTATGAATTTATTAAATAACTTAGGAAAATGTAAATATGAAAGAAGTCATCCTTATCTTGCTCATCATGAGCATCAACCTATCGATGTTCAAACTGAAAATAATAAAATGACATCAAGTCCTTTAGAACAGTGGATTTGGGAAAATGGATGTAAAACTTTACAAAATTTTCATCTTAAATCTGATATTCTCAGTTTTAAATCATCATCAATTCATTCAAAATGTCCAACACTTGAACTTGATTTAAATTTGGCTAAACATTTAACAGAAGTTGATTTACTTTCTCAAGTAAGTACATTTATAGTATTTTGAATAAGATATTCATTTGTATATATTTTATAAGTTATGATATCAAGACTATAATTTATGGACGAACTAATGATGTATAAGATAACATATCTCAGATTTTGGTGCAAAATTCACTCAACCATTTGGTTAAATAGAGTCTTGGCGTTATAGCTGATGTCAGTTCGTGATGAAAACCCTAAATCTAATTCCTAACCTTAACCATCAACTGTAAATCATAATTCGAATTCCTCACACTAATTTCTAACTCTCATTTGGTCCTAGCTATCAGGTGGACGCTCCCAAGGTCAATGTAACGTTGCTTAATGGTCATCCATAAATTATAGTTTCACGTTATGATTTCCATAAAATTTATGTTCGTATTTGCTAACTTTTTTTGTATTCTTTAATTATTGAATAAGTATTTTTACAAATTAAGTTACATATTCCTTTCGATGTAGTGGGTACTAATTCATTATTCTAAAGATAATGATTTTGACATGAGATTTGGAGGTCCTTTGTTCGAACCCTGATAAAAACATTTACGTAATCTATGATGATACGACTGTTCAGTGCTCCATAGTCTTCAAAATTTTCCACTGGTTATAACTGATGTATGCTGAAAATCAACTCGAAAAGGGTTTTTTTTAATTTAGGAGTGATGTTGAAACTGATCCCAATATCTAACAAATTCATTGTCATATCTGTAAACAAATTACTACCCCATTTCATTAAGCGTTGACTTAGTAGTTTAAATTTTAGGGTATGATATCCGTTCGGTTTGGGAACAGGATGAATGCTAGTCCTCATGTACTAAATGCGTAACTCAGAGATGAGGACTGAAACTTCTGTGTAAATGAGTTTCTATACATTTAGTATTCTGTAGGTTGCCAAATTTTATCTCCAGATTGTTATGCCGAATGATCGCTCGAAGTTGATGCTGATTTGCACGCTTCCTATAGGCGAAACCAGTCTAATAATTAGGTGCGGAGACTAAGGTTGAATGGATATCTGTATTGCCAAATCAAGTATAAATACACATACAAACTCATTGGCTTATATATATCACTCATATAGTTGAGGCAAATTTCGACCAATACAGTTCATCCATCAACATATCTCACCTATTATTGGCTTTACTCCAACGTATGCACGTAGGCATATGATGTTTCTGGATTGCCCGATTCTATGACATATCTTTGAATTACATGGCTTCATTCAATAGGATTTTTTCTACTAACTTATATGAGTGGTTCTCAACATGACAGTAATATATTCTAATTTCGACAGTGTTAAGATTTCTGCGCTAAGTGATTAAATTGAGGAGCTTCATCTTCATTCCAGAACGCATTATACGCTCATGAATTACTTAGGCGCTTAAGAAAATGAGCTATAGATCTCCTTCATTTAATTCCACTTGTTACTAAATGAATTAAATGAGCCCATTACTGACTCTCAGCCATTGATTTTAGCTATGGTACAACGTGGTACTGATTTTCATCAAGCATATTAGTGACTAGTTCTTTGAGAAGAGTTCTACAATCATTCTAGATACTTATATTTTACATTGAAATTGTTTCAAATTGTAACGTTGCCTTTCATCATAGATAATGACAAATTTAAAGTAGTCCATGAAACCAATGGCCCTTCTCTTAACCATCTACTTTTTTTCAAATCTAATGTAAGATGATGGAACAATGTATCATTTCTATTAACATCGTTTTTTTTCTCCACCCCCTTTTTTTTCTCTCTCTCTCTTTTCTTTTATATAAATACCAAACAATCCTATTCTAGGCAAATGTATTACAACAAATGATACATGTATATTCATATGAAATGTTAACAAATCAATTAGCACAAAATTTATTACGTATACATGGAATATGGTTTGAATTATACTCAGGTAGAGTACTAATATATAGTCGTTTAAATAAAGCATTTCTACCTATTACTGAAGAGACAATTACTTCATTACTTCATGAATTATAATGTAATTTCTTTATACAATCAGTTTATTTTTTTATTTATTTCATTATAGTTGCTTCTTTATTTTTTCTTATCTATCTTTTAAAAGATTTTTATACGATTGTATTTATCAAGATACCTCTTTGTTGTTGTTGTTGTTGTTGTTGTTGTTGTTGAAAGATTAAGTCATTTTTTTCATTCATTTGCTTATTATTTAATCAAATATTTTGTTTTTCTAATTATTATTCATTTGGATGGATGTATATTTTCAACTTAGCATAGAATATCATTGTCAAAGATACTTATGGTAAATCTAGTCTATTATTTCTAAATGTATATCGAAATTTTGAAATATAACCAATGGTGATGAATCAGCTGACTCAGGGTCTAGAATATTTTATTGATATATTTTTATTTTATTTTTTTTGGAACAATCTTCATGATTGAATGAAATTGAATCTCTATGTAAAATGATGATATTTAGATCATACAAATGGATATGACAACAAATGATTAGAAATAATGCATTTCAGGTCATCACTCCGTTTTAAGAAAATTTATTTTCCCTATTTGAATTGATTAAATGGAACTTTAAATGTTCATCTTCAATTCAATTATTCCAATTAGTGTTTTTTTTAACTTGATGAATAATGTTTTATTGAAGGATTATTTAAAACATAATTATATGAATAAAGAATATGCTTTTCAATCATTTCTCATCAAGTTCTACAATTATCTCATATCCAAATTAATAATCCATAAAATCAGCTAGATTTAAAGCAGAGTACATCATTTGGAAATTGTAATATGTGAATCAAGGATTGTTTATCAAACTAATTCGTCAATATTAGAGTTGACTTATATAAAGTGTTAACTTGAATCAGTTTATAAGTGAAATGAAATTGGGAGATAAATAATGAACTGATTGATGTTAGATCATCATTGAAAACCTGGTGATCTAACATCAATCAATTCATGATCTCAATCAAAAATTTAATCATCTCCACAACTATATACTGATATATAGATAAGTAATGATCAGAATAAATATGTTTACTATGGGGTGAGAGAGAGAGAGAATAATGTAATTACAAATCAGGAATTAGCTTATATGTAGAATAATATGAATTAGGTCAGATATAGTAGATAGAGGTGGATGCTGAACAAAGTCCTTAGAAATGTTATCAAGTGTAATAATAATAACAATAATAAAGACTAGTTAGGTGATTTTTCAAATTCTTATGTGATATAGAGTCCTCTTTTTTTCTTAGTTTTCTTCAAAATAAAAAAATGATAACAATGTATTAGATTCGATAAGGGAAAAGATTCTTTCTTTCACTATCAAGGTAGTAATAATAATAATGATCCTTCAATATGCTGTGCAAAACATTTATATTTATCTATGATTAATTGTTGTTCATTTGTATTTGAAATGTATATTGTAACTTAATTTGTTATAATGAATTGGAATTGTTTAATTTATTTTATTGTATTTTTGAATGGAATAAATTTATTTGTAACAGAAAAAAGATTTAGATTTTTTATATGACTTCTTAATTGATTTCCGAAATCCCCTTCGCCATTGATATGTCTTGTCGACATCATCACTAATTGTTATATCTGGTCGTCGATTATTATTGTGTTGGAAACGTTTATCACTCGTACTCGAAACGAGAGAATTTTGCAATTCCCATGACGTGAAAGTAAAGGATACAAAGACCGGTATAAGTAATGATTTATTAACCTAAAAACACGATGATGACAACCCTAGTCGAAAATACACTCATTTACATATTGATTGTACACCCATTTTGATTAATAATTAAAATGTAATCACATATATGAAACATACTTAGAGTTATAACAAATCACATACTGAGCATAGTTCATGGCCGTTGAATACAAGAATATTGTATGTTATAAAGAATAAAATATCATACGGGAAAGTAAAACCGATTACTACACTGAATAATCATCACATTGAATCAAAAACGGAAGTAAAGTTGAATAAAATTCATAGTGAGTAAATCAATCTAATTTTGACTTTTCTTTCCATCATGTCCAAAGGTTGAATTTTCCCGTTGTTATAATACACAAGGCTACAATTAAGCAGATTCTGTTAACATTTATGCATTCTAAGCGTATTGTCTCAAATAGAATTTAGTCTCAAAGTTTGATTAATGTTAATTAGTGGTTAAGAATGGAATTTAGAATGTATATTATTTTTTTCAATTTACTAATATACATAACCGTTATAAATAAAATTCATATCATTTCAACAAGCTAGTGGCTAGTTGAACTCAATGAATAATGCGTTAGCATTTGGACATGAACACTGAGATGTAGGTACATCTGATCGATAAGTTACAAATAGGATTAAATCCACGTTTTGGACTTCATTGCCAGTCACTATTTAATGAAGTCGTTCAACTAAATAACAAAATCAGAGTAATCTACAGTTAGGGAATTCGAGATTGTTCATCGCTTGAAGAACTTACAGATAACTATAAAAGGATAGAGATTCATATTTTTAAGGTGTTAATGGCGTTGTAATAGTCATCAAATTGTATGTTTCATTAAAATTTTTAATTTGACCAAGGGATTTAATAAGAACAATGACAGGAATATAGTTTTTTTTTTAATTTACATGTTTAGTTATTCCGTACACTTAATGTTTTTGGGTGTGTTTACTCAAAGTTAGTAGAATTACGGTTAGTTGATACAAACAAAATGGTAGATACAACTTTTCTTGTCTTTATATTATGATTATGCAGTAAGTAGGATTTTATAAAATATCAGTGGAAAAGAACAGAGTAAATGAAAAGCATACATCACTCAACAACTTAAAGAACCCAATTACTGTCTTAAGTAAATAGTTTTAAAAAAAATACGCTGGCCAAACCACTTTACACTAACTAATTTACATGTGGGTGTTTTTGAGTCTTATTTTCAAATATAAACTTTAACTTTATTCTATCATTGTAATTAATTTGGTTTGATATCATAGAGAAAAGAATGCTTGAAAATATGGAATAATTTTTTGAAAGTTATTTAATAGCTTCTCTGACAATTGAATTTGCTCATTTTTTGGTAAAAATCAAAATATTTTATTTGCATAGTGATCCTAATTGAAAAACTATTGAAAATTAAGTTACATTAGACACATGTTTTGTCCTAGTGTTGAACTCCTCGGAAATGCACATCTATGACTTTTAGGGATAGAATAGAGGTTTAATCTTTAAACTATTGACCCAACATTCACTAGTTTACATATTTATGTCCAACCGGTTTGCGATATTGTGCAACTATGCTTTAATGCCACTACATGCAAACTACTGGAAGGGATCTCAGTGGTCTAACCAACTCAGTGTTTGTCTTGAGACAAGTTCGAACTCTAGTGGGGTGGTGAGGACACACTGTTGAGGGGCCCAGTGTGTAAACGGGAAGGCTGTCTAGTGCTTCCTGGATTCCAGTAATTTTATAGGATCATTATATGGTGTAAACTATGAAATTCAACAATCTCCACAAACCCCCATATATTAACGAATACTGGTGTTTCACTGCGTAGCATATTATTAATATTATTTTATATAAGCGTTAGTGCATCTCAAATGAAAAGTGATTTACTTTTTACGAAGTTGCTTGAAACCGTTAGTTGAATCTGTCCTGAATACAATAAACGAGCGGGTCCAGATTCATTGATAATAAATTCAAGGATTCATATATGTGATTTTGAGTCATGTATGTTTAAAGACTGAAATAGAAATCAAATGTTTATTTAGTTAATTTTAGTCTATAGTGAAAATTATCTCCAAAATAAAAAATGTTTTTATGTATCTAAATGCACCATACTACTCATTATTAGTCAGTAGTATGAACATTATAGTAATATACTGATGCAGGTTGAATCATAAACAGTAACCATCAGTCGATTGCTTTTGGCGTAATTCAGGACACAATTATCCAGAGTAATGAGGTTTCAAATTGTTTTCACACTACTTTATTTATTATTCTTGTCTTCTCTTACCCTCTATTTCTGTCTATTTGACCATTTATTTTTATATATAAATGTTCTTAACAAGTATATTGTATGTGATCAGATTGTTCGAAATTTATTGCGCTAATATATCACATATTTCTAATAATCTTCGCCTTATTATACTATAGATACAATTAAGTGTGTTTATAGAGTTTCTCGTAGTTTCCAGTGTATTATATACTAGCCGTTACAGTTAAATTATCCACATATTTATGATATATGCAATCGGGGGCAATCTTTTGTATGGATGTTTGAGGGAGTTTGTAAATTATTATCACTGAATCGTTGTTAGCAGGCGGTTTCGTGGACCCCATAACTGATTTTCACGTTAGTAATGTTGAAAGTATGGTGACAATTAAGGAAGAATCTTTGACTTTGTTTAGTCTTTAAAGGTAAAGCGAACTATAGACATTGGGAAGTTTTTTATCGCACCTTCGTTGATTTTAATAACAAATCAAACATAAAACTTCATAAATTAAGAAGTTATTTAAAAAGTGCATGTGCATTCTAGACTCGTTTCACTGGCATTTTAACTGACTACTGAAGTTCTGTGGAATCACTACTTACATTTAAACTCAGTAATATGAATAATCTTAAGACTATTTATATTTTCAGATGCTTTATCGTGACACCTATTAATCATCAACCAATATAATTGAGTCTAGCCAGTTAAACTTTTTAGACGGACAGTAAGCTATGTTGGTCAACATAGCAGTACATTGTATTTATTAAGTAATATTTGGGTGACGTTCATCATGAAACGGGTTTTTTTTTCAATATTACCTAGACCCCAACATGGTGCGTTAGGTAACCATTAGAATACGTATTATGATTCTTCCTTCCTTACATATACTCAATCAGTCAGTAGTGATGATGCATCAATCAAAATCCGGATTTATCCTTCTCTGAACCGAGTATGCTAATCTGTCTCTAAACCAACTAAGCCACAAAACCAACGACGCACCTAGCCTGACACCATCAACCT